TCCTCACGTCTGTTCCAACTTGACGTGCCCTATAGAACAGAGAAGACCTGCTTTCTAGGGTTTTCAAGACTTTAATCTTTACAGAAAAAGACATCTCATGTTTCTCGCTGGAGTAGCTGGTGGGTGGGCACATCAGACCTTGTGGTGAGCAGCCTAACACCCAACCCACTGTGCCACCAGCACTTCTGATAAGAGCCAAGAGCTTCAAAAGGAACAATGAGTCATCTCTGCTATGAAATGCCAAGTAGAAGAGGAGGAATGTGCAGGCATCTCAGAAGAATTAAGAGAGAAAGAAGCTACATTGAATAAGTCAATGTACGGTGTGATCTTGTTTAGACATTCTAGAAAATGGAAATAAGGCAATCCTCACGGGACACAAGTAAGTGGTTGGCAAGGGAGGGCATTGTGTGTGGTGCCAATCCCCCGAGTACGAGAGAGCCACCTTATTCCTTGAAAACGACAGAGTTGCAGAGAGAGAGTGATGACAAGTGGTCACAAAGAGAAGAAGGTGCTGGGATGGGGGATAGGTTGAGGGTCTTGATTTCGATGATGTGTTCAAGGGTGTGGGAACTTGTCAGAGGAGTGGAGGGGGCACAGTGAGCTGTGCTTTGAACTGGGAACAAGAAGCAACGGTGGTCACCACTGTTTGTCAGCATGCACACGATATTCTGCTCCCACCAAGGTTTAAACGTCTCAGAAATACAAAGGGAAAGTTCTACTGTGTCCTATGGCTTTGTTGTGAGTGGAGCTGACTCAATGGAATTTGGTGTTTTGCTTTTGAAAAATAGGTGAAAGCATCCATTTTCACACTTTACATATGGATGCTTGGTTTTATGTCAATCATACCTCCGTTAGAAGAGTTGAATAAGAAGACCATCTCATTGTTAGGTGCCATGGACATGTCTCCAAGTCATAGCTTCCCCAGGCACAACAAAATATACAACCCTGCCCCGTCTTGTATCAGACTCATTGGTTAGGTTTGAGCCCAGTGCATCTTTTTGCTAAGCTTCTATGTACCAAGTATGATGTCATTTACAAAGAACAGGTCCCTACTAATAACATTCCCAAAGCCTATGCACCAATGTCTCATGATCCTAGATTCGAAGGAGAAATCTGGCTCTGGATTCTCCAAGACAAATGTGTTCCTTCTCACAATCCGTTTAAGGAGAAAGCGTGGGCACTGCATCTGCCTCTGCTTGCTTCAGTAGGGAGAAGAATCCAACTTCTCACCAGCCCAAGGGTGAATGCTACAGTCAGAGTTCAGGCCTGTGTCAACCCTCTATTCCCTCTCACCTGGCACCAGCTCTTCCTGTGACAACACATAACGTATCTCACCATGTTTCATCTTCTCAGTGGCCACACAGAGCTCCCAGACAATGCTCATGATTATGAGTGTTCATTGGGAAAAGTTATGGGATTTGTAATTCTATACAGATTTACAGGATGGGAAACCCAGAAGGGTAGTTTTAGTCTATCCAGAAGGTATCAATGAGTGGGAATCAAATGTTCTTTTTAATCACTTTATTAGGGGCTCATACAACTCTTATCACAATCCATACATACATCAATTGTGTAAAGCGCATTTGTACATTCATTGCCCTCATCATTCTCAA